TGTCCTAACAGGCTTCTGTAGAAGGAAACATGGCATCTAACAGGGCATTGCCCAAAGATTTAGACCCGCTCCCATGTATTTTAGATCCGAGTTTTATGGGTATACAGTGCTCAACATAAAGAAGAGGGCAGCCTGACGGAGTTCTTTCCCTCCCGACGCAGCAGCTGGCAGTTCCCCGTTCGCCAGCTCCTCCTGTTCGACGTTGCCATGGTGCTTTCTCCCCCCTCTCACGGAACCCCTCCGGCCGAGTCCCCGAGCGGTCCAGGGTGGGGCCAGGACGTGCAGCCGGCTGTGCCGGCTCAGAACACACGTCACAAGCACTCACATTGTTGTTTTTTACAAACATGTCACGCTCAAGGAGCATTAAAACGTTCGCTGCCGCATCCAGACAAATTGTCAAGGGCGCAGCAAAAATCAATAAAAATGTTACCCATGAGCGGTCCCAGGCGGGGTCGGCCCCTGGCGGACATTCTAGCCAGCCACGGGTCGTCCCCGTACGCCTGGGCCGTCAAAGCACAAAGCCCCCGCGCATGCGCAGTGGTTGCCACGAGCACTGCTGCCCCACAACCTCTGGGGGGAGCTGGTGCTCCGTGTGTCACGGCTGTGTCACCGCTCTCCACTCACATGGAGGAATGGACAGCGGTTTCTGCTTCACATTGGGTGATAAGAACAATTTCGAGAGGTTACAGGCTCCAATTCGCCTCAGTTCCTCCTCGATTCTCCGGCGTAGTGTTCTCCCACGCCCAGGGGTCGTCAGCTCACATCCTTCAGGGAGAAATCTCCTCCCTGCTGGAGAAGGAAGCGATATGCATTGTGCCTCCCGATCGGTCTCAGAGCGGTTTCTACTCCAGGTACTTCCTGGTCCCGAAACGGGGAGGGACCGGGATTCGCCCGATCCTGGATCTGAGGGCCCTGAACCGATGCCTCAGAAAGTACAGATTCAAAATGCTCACGCTCTCATCCCTTTTGCGTCTGATTCACCAGAGCAACTGGTTCACCTCAATCGACCTGAGGGACGCATACTTTCATATTCCCGTGTACCCTCCACACAGAAAATTTCTGAGGTTTGCCTTTCAGGGAGTGTGTTACGAATACACCGTGCTCCCATTCGGCCTCTCGCTGAGCCCGAGGGTGTTTGTCAGGTGTACGGAGGCAGCGATCGCCCCTCTGAGAGGGAGGGGCATTCGGCTGGCCACGTATTTAGACGACTGGCTCCTGCTGGCACGGTCCAGAGAGGAGGCAGCGTCAAACACGCTGGTTGTGATCCATCACTTGTGTGGTCTGGGTTTCAGAATAAACTGGCAGAAAAGCGCTTTACTCCCCTCCCAGAAAATAACCTTTCTAGGTCTGAATCTGGACTCAGGGGCGTTCACGGCCTGTCTCTCGACACCGCGCGTGGACGCGCTCTCGCTCTGCCTGGCGCGCTTCCGCCTACACAGTTCGGTGCGGTTTGCTTTATGCCTCAGGCTTTTGGGTCTCATGGCGTCGGCTATTTCAGTGGTACCACTCGGCCGTCTACACATGAGGGATTTTCAACGCTGGGTGGCTTCTCTGGGTCTCTCTCCAGGGCGCCACAGAGTGCGCAGGGTGACGGTCTCTGCAGCGTGCGTCGCGGCGCTCCGCTGTTGGCGTCACCCCTCCCTCTTGGCACAGGGGGTGCCTTTGGGGTTGGTTCTCGTGAGGAAAGTGGTCACGACAGATGCGAGCCTGTCAGGTTGGGGGGGGGGGCTCTTGGAGGGTCGCTCTGTCAGGGGTGTGTGGAGCAGAGAGCTCTGGGGGACACACATAAATTATCTGGAACTCCTCGCGGTCTTTCTGGCCCTGAAGCGCTTCCTGCCTTTTCTCTCCGGCCATCATGTCCTAGTGAGAACAGACAACACCACGACTGTGGCTTATATAAACCGCCAGGGGGGGCTGCGCTCCATGCGGTTACACACGCTGGCACGCAGACTGATCCTATGGTGCAGCAGGCATCTCCTCTCAATCAGAGCCACCCACGTCCCGGGTGTTCTGAATCGGGGGGCGGATCTGTTGTCCAGAGGGACACCCCTGTACGGGGATTGGAGCCTGCATCCAGCAGTGTTGGAACAGATTTGGATCCGGTTCGGCACAGCCGTAGTGGATCTTTTTGCCTCCAAGGAGAATGCTCAGTGTCCTCTTTTCTTCTCCCTGCGCGACCGAGACGCTCCACTCGGCGTGGACGCGCTGGCGCACGACTGGCCACGGGGTCTGCTTTACGCTTTCCCCCCAGTGGCCCTGATACCATCCACCTTGCTGAGGGTACGAACCCAGCGCCACGCTCTCATTCTGGTGGCCCCATTCTGGCCAGCCATGCATTGGGTGGCGGACATTTTCCAGCTCCTGGAGGGCCAACCTTGGAAACTGCCGCTTCGCAGGGACCTGGTGTCCCAAGCGGGAGGCTCGATCTTCCACCCTCATCCAGAATGGCTGGCCCTGTGGGCCTGGCCCCTGAGGGGTGCGGGCTAGTGTCAGCAGAGCTGCCCCAGGCAGTCATTCGAACCATTCAGAATGCTAGGGCCCCCTCCACTAGGTCCCTATAGGACTGTAAATGGAGGGTGTTTGAAGCCTGGTGTCAGGGCAGGGAGGTCTCACCCTTCCAATGCCCGGTGAATGTCATTCTGTCTTTCCTGCAAGACTTGTTGGATGGGAAGAAGGCTTTCTCCACCATTAAAGTGTACCTAGCAGCCATTTCCGCCCGACACTTGGGTTTTGGGAAGAAATTGGCAGGTCAACACCCCCTGGTGTGTAGCTTCATGAAGGGCGCGCGCAGGCTTCTCCCTGTGTCTCGACCCCTGGTGCCCTCATGGGATCTGTCCTTGGTGCTGTCGGCCCTCTCCGGGCCTCCATTTGAGCCTATGGACGGCCTGGACCTTAAGATCCTGTCTCTTAAGGTGGTGCTACTCCTGGATTTGGTATCTGCAAAGCGAGTTAGTGACTCACAGGCTCTCTCCGTGCACCCATCCTGCACCCAGTTTGCACCAGGTGACATGAAGGTGTCCTTGAAGCCCAACTCTGCCTTTGTGCCTAAGGTGGTGGGCTCCTTTTCTCCTATTATCCTCACAGCTTTCTACCCACCGCCCTTCTCCTCTCCTGAGGAGGAGCAGTGGCACAAGCTGTGTCCGATTCGCGCGCTCAAGGAGTATGTGAATCGGACAAAGAACCTTCGCAGGGGGGGCCAGCTTTTTGTGTCATGGGGTGGGCCTCGTAAGGGGAAACCCGTCACAAAGCAGCGGCTTTCCCACTGGATTGTGGAGGCTATTTCTATGGCTTACTCCTGTCAGGGCATTCAGGCACCTGTTGGGCTCAGGGCCCATTCTACTAGGGGCCTGTCTGCTTCTTGGGCCCTTTTTCGGGGGCTGTCAATCCAGGAGATTTGTGCTGCAGCAAGTTGGGCTTCTCCACTTGCATTTGCACGCTTCTATAAGCTTGATGTTTCAGTCCCTGCAATGACTCACACGATTCTGAGTGTGGGGTCTTTGGCGGGCCAAGACGTATCCCTGTAGGTTGGTGATCGCTGGATAAGCTGTCTGGCAATACGGGAGTCTCCATATCCCATAGTGAGACATCGAAACGAATGTTAAGAAAGAGAACTTTAGGTTACTGTCGTAACCCCGGTTCTCTGAGTAACATGAGTGAGATGTCTCACCAGACAACCCTTCTTGCTGGGCGAAGCAAGAAGAGGTGTTTATCTTGAATAGTGTGTGCGTTCGGACGCTTGCTACTTATAGTAGCAGGGGGATGCATACGTCACGGTCACTGGCCAATCAGGATTGGCGTATTGAGATAAGTGCTTCTGAGGAATCCGCGGAGGGGCGTATCCCATAGTGAGACATCTCACTCATGTTACTCAGAGAACCGGGGTTACGACAGTAACCTAAAGTTTTGTTGCGGGGTGTATTTATCTTTGCTTCAACCAATTTTAGTAAACCTGAAGATTTTGTGATCTAAATTATATTATTACCTTAATTTCATGTTATGGAGTTAAAAAGTGTTCAGTAAAACCCAGCCTTGTGAAACTTCTGGAAATTGTTCTTTTGTTTATTAAGCTGCTGATTAACCTGGTACTTTTGAAAGGGGGTCAAGTCAAGTCAAGTTTATTTATATAGCGCCAAATCACGACAAGAGTCGTCTCAAGGCACTTCACATAATAAATATTCCAATTCACAGTTCATTAAGCCAATGGTTAATGGGTGTACTCATTTATCCTGAGCACTGAAAGCAGCCAATATTTTTGCACAACTGGGCATAATTTTATTCATTTTAACAACATTTTGATGGATATTTCCAGAGATTATTGGTACAAACTACACATTGTCACTTTAACCTTTTAGACAGCGCAGTAAAAAATACCAAACACACACAAGCAAGGGAGCTGTAAATTCAGAGATCACTTGAAACCCTTCCTTTAGACAAATTCTCTCCGTTTTACAAGAGTGTTGCTTCCTTATTGCTTCAAAAAGCTCAAACCATATAAAACCCACCATACTAAAAAGCTTGTTGAATTAACCTCATTCAGCTCAAGCCACCAAGTCACACCTACTGATAAACACCCCAGGTCCAGACATGCAGAGGGAAACATCACTGCTAATTAAGAGGCTTGTGTGTGCTGCAGACTTCAATAAGCAGGACTTTATGTACTCTGCTCTCAATTCAATTAACTCCCAACATGCTTCAAATCAAGGAGCAAACAAGCCTTTTTCACAGAGACTGCATTTTATTAGTGGTAAATATGAACACTTGTTACTATAAGTAACAATATCACTGATGTCAAACTTTAAAACTGCTTTATGAGAAGTCTCCAAACTCACCCGATGTGTCCTGCTGCTACCTTCAGAGACAACTTAGCTGAGTTAATGTTTTCAGAAGACTGACATACGTTAATATCTTCTGTTAATTACTGTAAACTTCCTGTTTTGTCTCACCCAGTCTTTGGTTTCCATATTAAATTAATCTACAGGTGGTCGATTTTTATTCTCCAGTTTACCCAACATGCATGTCATGGTTGTGGGAGGAAACCAGAGCAGCCAGAGGAAAACATGCCAACTTCACAGAGAAAGACCACAGCCAGGAATCTAACCCAGGACCTTCATGTTGCTAGGTAAGAGCCATACAGGTCACAAATCTTAAAAATAATTAATCCCAGAGGGAAGTTCATAACCAACTGCACTATCGTTTCACTAGTATTTGAGGGTTGAATTGGCTGGCATTTGTCTTTAACACAAATCCTCTTACCCAGGATGTTTTAATTTGCTTTGAACTGCAAATAAATTACATTTAACTCATCTACCAAGAAAATAGCAATGACAGTTTTTACTTTGGGCATTTCTATTCATTTGGGGGATAAGGGTTAAAGTTTAATGTAAATTAAGAAAGCAAAATTAACAATGTAAATTTTATGGTAATGTAAGGTTATGAAGTTCATTATTTTCAACTCCACACAGCTGCCCCCTGTGCACAATAACACCCGTGTAGAAAAACCAAGGTCGGGTGTTCCTCAGACTGTTTACATTCCAGGAGAAGAGTCCGAAGGAGGAGAAGAAGCTTTACTTAATCAAAGTACTTTATTTGTGATTAAAATTATTAAGCAAAACAGATGTTGATCAACAATAATCAAGTGAATGATCTGTGAAATAAATATGTCATGATTTATGTTTAATGAAACCAGGACTACTGCACAGACATACTGATCCTCATCTCCATAGAAACGCATGACACATTGTTCCAACCAATCAGAGCTTTCGGCTGCCGCAAGAGAATCTGGTGTTGACTTAAAGTGTCCTATCCCGTTTACTGAAACTTAAAACAATTCAGAGATATAAAACAAGGCAACGCCATTTTAAGCTCAGTTCCATTTTGACTTCAGTTCTATTCACCGTCATCCTAAAGAAAAGCACAGCCTGGCCAGATGTGTTTTCTTCTTTAAACTAAGAACTGTGAAGTTGGAGATTTTCGTCGTTTAACAACCAGACGACGTCCTTTCAAAATAAGAGCACCTGCTGCACATTAGCCACCGGCCCCAGTCCTCTGGACAGGTCGAAAGGGTGAACCGCACGGTTATTAGCATGCTAAAAAAGTATGTGAAAGCTAACCACCGAGATTGGGATGTGAAACTTCCGTTGGTCCTTATGGCCATACGCGCTACCCCTCACGAGTCTACAGGTGTCTCCCCGTTTGAAATGATGACGGGCAGACAAATGACCCTACCGCTTCACCTGCTGTATCAACGACCGGTTCGTTCCGACACAGCCCCGGCTTGTACGAGCGGCCAATACTTGCAGGACCTGAGAACTCACCTGCTTGCAGCATTCTCATTCGCACAGGCATCTCTGGAAAAGTCAGCTGAAGGCAGAAAAACTTATTACGATAAGAAAGCCTCACATTCCGAACTCGATGTAGGTGACCAGGCCTGGTACTACATTTTCGCTCCCAAAACGGGTAACAACAATGCGACCTCGGGGAAGCTGGCTAAGAAACTTTTGCCCAGATGGTCGGGTCCATACCTGATTACAGATAAGATCTCTCCGGTCGTGTATCAGATCAAGATCGCCGACAAAAACAAGGCGCCCGTCTACAAATGGGTACACAGGGACCATATCAAACTGCACAAGGGTCCCACAGATTTGGCCGATACCAACAACAACAATCCACTGACTTCAAAAGGGGGGTGATACGTCCCGTTGGTTCCACAGAATTCTATCTCTGATTACACAAATTTGTTTGTTTGTGAGTGTGCATGGTTGTCTTTCCTGTTATACGTCACGTGCAGACTTAAGGTGTGTTGAGACGGACGTGCTGTGGGCTCCTGGAGTCAGGTAAACGGCCAGGTAACAGTGAATGGGTTAGGCCACATAGTACTGTTGTCCAAAATTTTGTTTTTTTTTTATCTTTACTAATCACAATTCCTTAGGGGTACATTAACATGAACATGATTACTAACCGCTGATTTACATTTTAGTACTAATTTACATTTCTGTTTTTTTATAGTACCTTTGACCAGTTGATTTTAACAGTGAAAATTATGTTTGTGATTATCAATTCTTTGATTTCTCCTACGGGGCTATGACCAATTTTGCCCCTGTCCTGACAGCGTGTATTTACAGTGAGGACTCACTGATACCAGTTAGGGTTCTTTCATTTTTCTGCTTCTCGCATCATCCCTTTTTGCATCTGACACAGACAGGGCTGCATCCATTTCTTCACTTCATGGGTAATTACACATAAAACTAACACATAGTACAAAAGGCACTCATAGAGTTAGGTTTTTATTATTTTTATTTCTTTGATGACATGAAATGCACTTTTGTCGTGTCTGCATTGAAGTGCCTACACTGTGCTCTCTCTCCTCTGCTGAGCTTGTGAGGATCCTGCTTCCTGGGGGTGGATCCGTGACTCGTCATCTGCATCGACTACTCCTGGGTGGTGCTCCGGCTCGTTGGCCTTGGACGACTGTGGTTCCGGCATGGCTGCTGGGACACCTCATTCGTTGGGATTACTGTCAACTGCTCTTCCCTTTTTGTGGGTTACGATAAGTACTCTTTCAAAGTTCAATTTTTACTTGGAATTAGGGCTGGGCAAAAAATCGATTTAATCTATTTATCGATTTTGTAGTTTAAAACGATTTTTATTTTGCAAACTCGAATTTTTTGACACTAAAGTTTTTTTCGGACTTTTCCGCGTTTTGTCCTTGTTTTGTTGCCGTAGCGCGATATGAGCCAGCCGCCGCCCGCCTCTGCCTACACAGTCAAAACAACATGGCAGCGGCAGCGTGTAGCAGAGAACTACTTCCAAAGAAAGGCACAAGTAATTCCGTAATTTGGAACTGGTTTGGTTTTCATCCAGCAGACGAAACACAGACGAAGCCTTGCTGCAAAATATGTTTCAAAACTGTTGCTACTGGAAGCAGCAGTACAACAAATCTTTTTCAGCACCTGAGGAATAAACATCCCGAAGAATGGGAGAAGTGCAGCCGGCTCCGCAGCGACAGCGGCTCCTCTAGCACACCTGCTAAAAAGCAGACTACACTTCCTGAGAGCTTTACAAACTGTGTACCTTATGACAAGAACGGAGCGCGATGGAAAGCGATTACAGAGGCGGTCACTTTTTATATTGCCACAGACATGCTGCCGATTTACTCTGTTGAAAAGCGAGGCTTTAATCACTTGCTGAAAGTGTTGGATGCGAGGTACGTTGTCCCCAGTCGCAAGTATTTCGCCGATGTAGCGCTGCCTCACCTGTACAATACAACCCGGGAAAAGATCCGCAGTGAGCTGGAGGAGATGCAGTTCTACTCAGCCACAACGGACCTGTGGTCCAGCCGGACGATGCAGCCATATCTGAGCCTGACGGTTCACTACATCAACACTAGTTGGACTCTGCGCAGCATCTGCCTTCAGACAGCGTATTTCCCCGACAACCACACTGGTGAAATAATTGCCCATGGCTTAAAAGACGCTCTCAGCTCCTGGGGACTTTCGGAGGAACGACTCGTCTGCATGACAACTGATAGTGGCACCAACATCATAAAAGCTCTTAAGGACAACAACTGGCCCAGCCTGCAGTGTTTTGGCCACAGACTCCACAACGCTATAGGTAAGAGTTGGTGTAAAAATAAATAGGTGCACATACTTGTACATTGTAAAGCACTGTTTGCTTGTAATTTAATAGCCAGAATATGGTATATATTTCAACTGGTTTACACACAGACTGGGTTACATAAATAAACCTGACTTTTCCTTAATCTGCATTATGCATTAAACTGTGTTACAGCTATTAAAATTGTGATAAAAGTACAAAACAATTGTAATGCAGTTTAAGCTTGGCGTGACAAAAAATATACTAAATGTCTTCACATTTATTTCAGAGAGTGGTGTGAAGGATCCAAGGATCGATCGGGCCATAGGGGTCTGCAAAAAAGCTGTATCCGCCTTCTCCTACAGCTGGAAAAAAAGGCGAGACATGACAGAGGTGCAGGCTGAGCTTGGACTTCCCCAGCATCTTTTGATCTCAGAATCCCCAACTCGTTGGGGGTCTCGTCAAAAGATGATTGAGCGCTTTCTTGAGCAAGAGAAGGCAATAACTCGTGTCCTGGGTGCAGACAAGAAAACGCGTCATCTTGTTCCCACGTGGCAAGATTTGGAAGTATTGGAAGCCACCAACAAAGCAGTGAAACCTCTCCAGGACTTCACTGATGCGCTGTCAGGGGAGTCATATGTCAGTGTGTCATGCATCAAACCGGTGCTGCATTTGTTTAAAACAAGTCTCCTCCTGCCAGAGGAGGAAGATTTGGAGCTAACAAAAACAATCAAAGCTAACATCATGCGTTACCTTGAAAGTAAATACTGTGATTTGGAGAAAGAGGAACTTTTGGACATGGCCACACTTTTAGACCCGAGGTTCCGTACAACCTACATTGATGCAAGCAAACTGGAAGTTGTCAAAAAAAGAGCGGTGTCTGAGATCTCTGCTCTCTGCAACTCTACCACAGAGGAAGCTGGTCCCTCAGCTGTTCAAGAGAACACCCCGCCAAAAAAGAAAATGACTCTTGGTGCCTTCTTTAAAAAATCTGCACCATCCACCATGCTACACCCACAATCTGAGAAAACAAAAATTGAGACTGAGCTTGCGACGTATTTACTTATTCCAGACATTGAGCCAGACACAGATCCTCTTGAATGGTGGAAGCTTCATCAGCCCAACTTTCCAAGACTAAGCTTACTGGCTAAAAAATATCTTTCTGTTCCAGCCACTAGTGCCCCCTCAGAGAGAGTATTTAGTGTAGGTGGAGGAATAGTTACCTGCAACCGGGCCTGCCTTAAGCCAGATGTTGTGGACAGGCTCATCTTTCTTGCAAAAAATGTTTAGAATGAGCATGCACAGTTTTTCAGAGATCTAACAAGCACATATTTTGTTGTTATAAACGTTTACAGATTTGTTCATTCTTTGAGCAGGCTATATGTCTGCCACAGGCTTGTTTCATTTTTGTATTCACACTATACTGAGATTTTTATTTTTTTGGTAATTTTATGTTACAAAATTTTTATTAATGTGTTTTCTTGAACAGAAAATTTAAGCTACTGTGAAGCTGTTGCACTTTTGTTTAAACCTGGGTTAAAGCTTGAAATTGTTGAATGACAGAGCCTCATTTACTTTTTGTTTTGGGATTCTACGCAGTTTAACTCTTGAGGACAATCATAGCAATAAAGTTGCACTTTTGACACTATATCTGATGTCTGCAGCCATTTTTTAAGTGCATTGGGGAAAAAAATCGAAAATCGAATCGAAACTCGAATTTTTCTTCAAAAATCGAAGATTTTTTTGGGGGGCAAAATCGCCCAGCCCTACTTGGAATATTACCCTGCCTGCGGATACAACAATCGATTTTTAATTGGAATACTACCCTGTTCGTGGATACGTTCAAGATTTGCTCCTGCTTTGCTTTATTGCCCGTGAGGATATAAAGTTGCTGTTGCTTCGTTTATGGCTTCCATGGGGAATAATTAATAACCTGCTGACTTGTGTTCTTCCTGAGGAGTATGCGAGACTGTTCTCCGGCGTGGGGTTCGTACCTCACCACAGATGGCTGTTCCCTTGGGATCGCATTCGGTTCTGTTGTCAAGATTCTTCATAACTTGGGTTTGTTCAACGACCAAGTGGTCTCTTGAAGGACCACATTGACCTTGAAAAGGGGGGATATGTAAGGTTATGAAGTTCATTATTTTCAACTCCACACAGCTGCCCCCTGTGCACAATAACACCCGTGTAGAAAAACCAAGGTCGGGTGTTCCTCAGACTGTTTACATTCCAGGAGAAGAGTCCGAAGGAGGAGAAGAAGCTTTACTTAATCAAAGTACTTTATTTGTGATTAAAATTATTAAGCAAAACAGATGTTGATCAACAATAATCAAGTGAATGATCTGTGAAATAAATATGTCATGATTTATGTTTAATGAAAACAGGACTACTGCACAGACATACTGATCCTCATCTCCATAGAAACGCATGACACATTGTTCCAACCAATCAGAGCTTTCGGCTGCCGCAAGAGAATCTGGTGTTGACTTAAAGTGTCCTATCCCGTTTACTGAAACTTAAAACAATTCAGAGATATAAAACAAGGCAACGCCATTTTAAGCTCAGTTCCATTTTGACTTCAGTTCTATTCACGTCATCCTAAAGAAAAGCACAGCCTGGCCAGATGTGTTTTCGTCTTTAAACTAAGAACTGTGAAGTTGGAGATTTTCGTCGTTTAACAACCAGACGACGTCCTTTCAAAATAAGAGCACCTGCTGACGCCGCCGAACGGTACCGGGGTCGACCCTCCAGACGGGCTTTGAAACGTTGCGACCGCTGCACCGACAGCTCCAGCGTACATCCGAGGTTCTTGGACCTGGCATTTCCTGATCTACCTGGGAGGCCCCCACTGGGTACGTACACGGCAAAATAGCGGCTCATGTCATCACTTTATAAGCCTCGTGATATCTAGTCATAACAAAGACTACCAGATTCAATGACGTCATCCTAAAGAGTCTGAACCAACCACACACACACACACACGCACCAACACAACATCCAAATCCATTTTCATCCATCACAGAGTTAGTCCTGGTAGATTGTTTAGAATTTATAATCAAGAAATTAAAGATTCTCAAACGATCCCATCTCTCTCTCTTTCCTTGTCTCAAAGTCAATACAGAGTGTTTAATTAAACTCCCTGATGATAAAAACAGCCTATTCTTCTGTTTATAAAAAGTGATCTACTTACAGTGTATTAAAATGCAACTCTAGATAGTTACATCACTTCAATTCCGTTACAGTAATAATTCAGGAATTTTTGTTTGACTTTTTAATTCAAACATCCCTCAAAAACATTTCATTGTTTGTTTACCTTCTTATGTTTATTTTAATGTATTATTCAATATGATTTATAGACTAAAATGTGCAGTACCAAGCGGTCGACCTGCAGGTAAAAGGCTAAAGAACTCTTCTTTTTTTGGATAGTCTCCTTTTTAGATTTTGACCATGAGCTCAAATCTCAAATTACCATGGCAGATTTACAGAATGTTGATCTCTGAGCCCGGGATGTCTAGCACCTTTCAGGCCAACATTTCTGCAAACATTTATGTTAGTTTGTTTAGTGAAGCTAATTCTGAAGAAAAATCCCTAATTTCTTTAAAAATCCTAACGGTGTCGTTCACAGAAGCCTGTTTCAAAACACAATAGTGCCACTTTGCTGCAAAGCAGAGGTGGGATCAGGGAACCTTTGGTCATCCAGAAGTGGCCAGCCTGGTGGCAGTTCAATGTGACACGATCGTGTTCTCCACAAAAGATAAAGTGATGACGATATAAAAGGGGTATGGGGGCAGTCTCCGGCGGTCACAGACCTTCCATTAGCTTGGGCGCAACTTGTTTGTATGCCAATTGAAGAAACGCTCCTTCGATTTTCACAGTTTTTACACAAACTGTCTGCCTATCTGTGATCAGTTCTAAAGAGCAGAAGCTCCCGGATCCCTACATTGCTTCAGTTTGCCATTTCAGTGGATTCTGCTTACAAAAGCAAGACTGACTCCTCATGTTTACTTGCATTTTCAATATTGTTGCAGGGTGGATTTGGCAAACATTCCACATATGATCATGACATCACTTTCTGTTGCACGAAGGCATGATGATCTTTAATGAGAAGTTTGCAATTGGGGTAATATTATTATTAGGCTTGGCACCACAAACGCCACAATATTCTCACCATGACACCACGGCGCATTCAACACACAGACCTTGGCAGCAGTATTACCCTGACTTGTTGCCATGATAAGACTGGGTTATATGGAAAAAATTCCTATAACAATATTAATTTCATCATATCAAGATACATCGTGAACAAATCACTATTTATGTCAATCTCTTATGTTCTCTGGTTCTATTAAGTGAGATTTGAAGATAACATGAATATTTTTACTTTAAAGTTGTATTTTCAAAAGATGAACATTTCAAACATTACATAAAATGTTTTTGACCAATAAAAGAGGTTTGTTTTAAACTAACATTTTCAAGCATTTCAGGAGAACAGAACTCAAAACAGGCTTTGCAATATAAATTTGTAAACTGTCTGCTCATCAACTCTTTACAAATAAGCAATACAGAAAAGAAATAAGTCAAAAAACAATGTTTTATATCAGTGAAATGTCAAGCAGCTTTAAAATAAATAAATAAAAATCTAAACTATAAAATAGACATCTATGCTCAGAAAGAGCAAAAGTTTAGATTCTGTATATCCTGCAGAAGGATAAAGCTACACGAACAAAATTGTCCTGAAAAGGTTATAGTTCACCAGTGAGGCAATATTTTCACTCTTACAAGTCTGACAAAAAACAAAAAACAATGGTTTGCAACAGAGAATCGATAAAAAACGAGTCAACCAACTTGTTTTTATCATTAAGTAATGGCCTAACATGGCCAGGGCTGCACTTAAAATGTATTTTCTACATTCGGACCATTCTCTGTAATCCCTAGAGTTGGTTATGTGTGACAATCCCAGAAGATCAGCAGTTTCTTGAGTCTCTTAAGATTGTTATTCACACTGGCGGTAATGACACCCGGTTACGCCAATCCGCGGTCACTAAAATTAATGTTGCTTTGGTGAGTAAGTTTGCCAAAACAATGTCGGACTCCGTAATTTTCTCTGGCCCCCTGCCTGATCGGACCAGTGACGACATGTTTAGCCGCATGCTGTCCTTCAACCGCTGCTTGTCTAGGTGGTGTCCTGAAGACAACGTGGGCTACATTGATAATTGGAAAACTTTTTGGGGAAAACCTGGTCTGATGCGGAGAGACGGCATCCATCCCTCTTTGGATGGAGCAGCTCTTCTTTCTAGGAACATGGCCAGTTTTATTAGTCGTCCATGACAACCCAGGGTCCAGACCAGGAAGCAGAGTCGTAGTTTAACACCCTCCTCTGCAGCTTCTGTACTGTTACCCACCCACTACCCCATAGAGACAGTGTCCTGCCTGTGGCCAAAATCACACAGACTAAATATCAGACATAATAAAGCTAATCATGGAAATCTCAAAAATATTGGAACAAATTCAACTGAGCAGAGAACTAGAACAATTAAATGTGGGTTATTGAACATTAGGTCTATTTTTCTAAGACTTTGTTAGTTAATGACTTGATTTGTGATAATCAGATTTCTTTGCTCTCTCCCAGAATCCTGGCTGCAGCAAGAGGACTATGTTAGCTTAAACGAGTTGACTCCTAATTACTTAAATCATCACATTGCTCGAAGTACAGGCCGAGGAGCAGGAGTAGCAACTAGGGTTGTCACGGTAACCGGTATAGCGGTAAACCCCGGTAAAAAAGTTGACAATAAAAATAACCGTCCAGTTTTTAAAAAACTATATTATCTCGGTGGGTTTACCGTGGCCGCGGTTTCGGCGCGATGACCCTTACCAGCCACCGTCGCTTCAGCTGAAGTTCCCGCTGCGCGCACATGCACTTTTTAATTTGCAACGGCACCAAAACTTTGAAGCTGAAATAATGGCCGAAGGAGGATACGGCAGCGCCCAGGACATCCATCAGCCCTCAAAGAAGACTAACTCGGAAGTATGGGCATATTTGGGATTTCTGAAAAATGCTGAGGGACAGTTAATAGAAGACGGCTATCCCGTTTGCAGAACGTGCAGGAAACAAGTGTCTGCAGAAGGCAGCAACACTTCAAATCTCATGGCACATCTGCGTGACGATCACCCACGTCTCCACAGCCAGTGCAAGGTAAGTTAACATTAGCATTTTAGCTGAAATGCATGACGTGAGGACTTTTGGTTGAGGGAGAATGCAACGAGTCACTATATCCTGCAGCCGCAGCGTCCTCTGCCAGCATTTAAACCGTGTCACGGACACCCTGTTGCTGGATGAAGCATCTTATTTGTTGATGATGAAGAGAAATATACAATTAGTTCCTTGTCATGGATTTGTTTACTTATTCAATGCCATTTATACTTGAACATTTGGATTTGATTACATAGTGTAGTAGTTATTTTAGTAATTTGTTTAAAGTGGATATTTATTTTAAATACATATTTTTTAAGGTTGACTTGTACAGTGCTCAAGTCAAGTGTGGACTGGAGTTTTAGATTTTCATTTTGATAATGAAGAAAACAAGTATATGAGAAAACAAGTGGTGTTTCTTTGATTTGTTTACATATTGTCTATGTTTTGAATGTTTGGATTTGTATAATTTAAACCTGCACTGACTACTGTAACATGTTCCAGAAAAAGAAGCTTTTTGTTCCTTTACTTGTGAAAAGTTGCACTTTTGCTGAGGCTTTGTGTTATTTTAGGTTTAATAAACACTGTTAAACCTTTTCAGAACTATTTCAGTTTGTGTAGAACAGGACTATCAATGCTTTCTGAACACATGCAACACCGTTTAAAAAATACCGCGATAATACCGAAAACCGTGATAATTTTGGTCACAATAACCGTGAGGTTAAATTTTCATACCGTGACAACCCTAGTAGCAACCATTTTTCATTCAGACCTAATAATCAATCCCTCACCAATTAATAGTTACAGTGCTTTTGAACATCTTATTCTTAGTTTTCCTAATCCAGATTGCAAAACTGTAAAACCACTCTTGTTTGTAGTTTTATATCGTCCACCAGGCCCTTACTCTGAGTTTTTGGATCAGATCTCTGATTTTTTATCTGATTTGGTGCTAAATACTGATAAGGTCATTGTAGTGGGGGATTTCAACATTCATGTGAACATTGAAAATTATAGCCTCAATGTAGCCTTTAGTAATATCTTAGACTCAATTGGTTTTACCCAAAGAATACATAGCTCCACCCACTCATGCCATCATACATTAGACCTTGTGCTGACTTATGGCATAGAGTGTGAGGAAATAACGATATTTCCACATAATCCAGTCCTCTCTGACCACTTTTTGATAACCTTTGAGTTTTTTATAACCGAGTTCTCGAGACATGAAAGTAAATGTCACTATAGTCGGTCTCTATCTGACAACGCAGTTGCATCTTTTAAATCAACTGTTCCATCTTTACTGTCCTCAGCATCTCAGAGGCATGTAGCAGAGGGCAATATTTTTATTTCTAGCCCTAACTTTTACTTAAGCCTTCTCTGGATCCAGATGACCCAATGAATTACAGACCAATATCTAACCTTCCAATTTTATCCAAAGTCCTTGAGAAAATAGTGGCCATCCAAGTATGTCAGCATTTAAACACTAATGATCTGTTTGAGGAATTTCACTCTGGTTTTAGAGAGTATCACAGCACTGAAACTACATTAGTGGGAGTTACAAATGATATTCTTATGGCCTCAGATAAGAATCTTGTGTCTGTTCTAGTCTTGTTAGATCTCAGTGCTGCCTTTGACACAGTTGATCACAATGTTCTTTTAGAAAGACTTGAACATGTTGTAGGGATCAAAGGAACAGCGCTAGGCTGGTTTAAATCCTACCTGTCTGATAGATTTCATTTTGTAAATGTACATGACAAATCTTCTTCATACTCCTGGGTTACTTGTGGAGTACCACATGGTTCAGTGCTTGGACTATATTTACTATATATATATATATATATATATATATATATATATATATATATATATATATATATATATATATATATATATGCTTCCAATTGGCAAAATCATTAGACAGTGTGGGATGAACTTCCACTGTTATATTGACGATACTCAGTTATATCTATCCATTAACCCTGATGAACCTAATCGGTTAGCTAGATTACAGGCTTGTCTTAAAGACATAAAAGATCGTCCTGAACACTGTTGCTAACCATTTAATCATTCTCCCTCTCCTGATAATAACACTTTACTTTCCTTGACATTGAATGTGCTACTACTAGTTTACCCGTTTAATTATAGACTCACTAGGATAAATACAATAAAGTTTATCTCTCACCAAATAGAATATTTACTAAGAAATCACAATATAACCAGAAATAGAATAGAAACATTACTTGGTGTGTGTGTGTGTGTGTGTGTGTGTGTGTGTGTGTGTGTGTGTGTGTGTGTGTGTGTGTGTGTGTGTGTGTGTCTGTGTGTGTGTGCGTGCGTGCGTGCGTGCGTGCGTGCGTGTGCGCGCGTGCGTGCTCTGTCTTCTTGATCCCCAGTGAGTTGTGGAGGATGACTGCTTATACTGAGCCAGGATCCTCTGGAGGTTTCTTCCTGTTGAAAGGGAGTTTTCCTCTCCACTGTCGCTGCATGCTTGCTTAGTATGAGGATTGCTGTAAAGACTCTGACACTAGTCAGTGACTCAATGCAATTTGCTGAGTTCCTTATATAGGAAACTTTTTCTGATTGGCTTAATGAATTGACCTGTATTGGAATGCTTATTTTGTGAAGTGCCTTGAGACGACTCGTCGTGATTTGGCGCTATATAAATAAACTTGAATTTAATTGAATTTTGAAAAACTCAGACCAGCCCGTGTGGCACCAACAACCATGCCACGGTCAAAGTGACTTAAATCCCCTTTCTTCCCCATTCTGAAACTCTGTTTGAACTGCAGTGGATCGGGCACAGCTTGGAAATGTGGGTCCCCCTTCCCATGGGCTCACCACTCGTGTGAGGGGCCAAAGGGATCAGGTGCTAAGTGAGATGGGTGGTAGCTGAAGGAGACCTTTGCAGTCTGATCCTCAGCTACAGAAGCTGGCTCTTGGTATGTGGAATGTCACCTCTCTGGTGGGGAACGACCCTGAGTTGGTGTGTGAGGTTGACAGGTTCTGGCTAGGCAGAGTCGGACTCACCTCAACGCATGGCTCTGGCTCCGGAAAAAGTTTCATGAGAGGGGTCGGACACTCAACCACTCTGGAGTTGTCCCCACTGAGAGGTGCCAAGCAGGGGTGGGCATACTTGTTGCACCTCATCTATAGTGTTCACCCCGGTGAATGAGAGGGTAGTCTACCTCTGTCTATGTGTGGTGGGACGGGCTCTGACTGTTGTTTGTGCTTGTGCACTAAACTGCAGATCAGACTACCTGCGCCTTGTGGAGTCCTTGGAGGGGGTGCTAGAGAGCACTCCTTCCAGTGACTTCCTAGTTCTGCTGGGGGACTTCAATGCTCATATGGGCAATGCCAGTAAGAGCTGGAGGGATGTGGTTGGGAGGAATGGACACCTGATCTGAATCTCAGCGGTGTAATTAAAAACAACATTAAAATAAAGATGGAAGCTCTGGTAAATGTGCCTTAGTCACACCAACTTTGACACTTTGAGAGAGAATCCTTATTTTATTTAGGCTTTAGATAATCCTGATTTATCTGGATTTTTTTTTTTGTCCCCGGGGACGGAGGAAGCTGCCCCACCCACATTCCACATTGGTGATGTTTAAAACCAAGGTTACATTCTGGCTTACTTTCTATCACACCTGAAAGACACACTTGAACTGTTTAAGCTCTGGAACACGCGCGGGCCCGGGTGCACACACGCACACGCACGCACGCACACACACATACACACACACGCACGCAGCTTGGATTTCAAAGACCACATTCAAAAACACTTCACTTCCCATAAACGAGCAGTCTGGTCTCTCCTTGTATGTTAGCTCAGGAACATCACTGGGTGTTTTTTATGTGAATGTGTTAACAAGGTTTTATGGGCCGTGTTTTATTTGGACTGTGGTTTGTAGTAAAGTTGCTGCACCCTATGTGATGAGAAAGAGAGAAGTTGCCATGGTAATTTATTTAAGGAGAAATTTTACACTCATTGGGGGAAAAAAGGCATCTTGCCACCAGCAAACCTTGTAATTTGGACAAAAAAATAAACTCATGAAGTCATTGTCATTAAGTGCATCAGACCACTATACTAGATGCAGAGCAGCATCCATCAGTGATTAGGACACATGGTATCTGGGTAGTGAGTTAAATCTAGTAAATGAGTGATTTTAACTCGAAAGTCGCCATAATGCACCCACTTTAACGTTAGAAAAGCATGCCTTTACATTTCTACATCATAATTTAATGTGATAAAGTCAGACAAGTGACCAACGATGAAGCCAGTTATTCAAATGTTATCAATCAAATATGCTGAAATAAGATGTTCTTTGTTGACATAAGGTGATGTGTAACTTATTCAATCCCTTGCTACCTGCAAGGGTAAAAGCAGAGGGATGATGTGTGTATACATATTTAAAGTTTTTAAATTAACCTTAACTATTACATTACGACAATGGTTTTGACTGATAAAAGTTTGAATTTTACTAATAATTGTGGCAATTTACGAGCAAGTCAAACAATGACCGACAGGGAAGTCTATATTAATCTAGAAGGTTCCAATCAGACAACATAAACAGTTAACGTGTTTTAGACCTTGCACGTGTTTCAGAGACCTACCCTGAAGGCGGCTTCGAGGACATGATCAGCTTCAGACGCGCTGCTCCTCCAGAAGGGCTCCAAGATCCTAAATGTGGTGGACCCCCATTACTTTATCACCCGTGCTGGAAGCAGGACAGCACACGGACAACAATTATCGTCGTGTTGTTTCGTATAATGTTCAAAGTAAATGGGGCTAATTGTTTAGAACTAAACAACTGTACGAGACACAACAAGTGGTTAAATTTGATAGGTAAAAGTTCGGTGACCTGAAAAGTGACAGCGGCTAAGTGTCCGTCACGGCTAACTACGATACAAGAACCCGCACTAATTCAAAAGTTTAAGCTATGCGGTCTTTATGGGGAAATAAGTCTTACTGAGTGTTTCCATGGGCTGGAATACTTGACAAATCCACTTGTTATAATCCCTGAGGCTGAATAACCCTCTCGGTGTCGGCTTGTCCACATAAATCACAGCCAGCCAACATGACAGCTTCCGGGCAGCTCTTTTCAAAATAAAAATTACAAAGACAAAAAGCCAGTTTTCTTCCTGATTAAACGTTGATTTAAGTTTACCTTATGTGGCTGGGGGTTGCAGGTTCGAGACCCATTTAGTCTGTCACAATTTTCCTTGGGCAAGACACTTGAAAGGTGAATGGGTGAATAACTACTTGTGTTGTAAAGCGCCTTGGGGTGTTGTAGAACCGTAAAAGGTGCCATTAAAACATAGGCCATTTCTGTGCAACTTTTTGTGTTCTCGTGTTCTGTCCTAATTGGTTTAATTCTAAGTGTGCATTTGCTTTGTAAATTAATTACTTTAGACATTCCAGATAAAGATTTCTTTGCATTTTGTAGCCTAAAGTTGTTTCCACAACATATCTGATGAAAGTAGACAAAATCTTACATTGATATCAATTTTGTTACTCTGGCGTTTTACTATACAAATAAAAATTTAAAAAAGCTAACAAACTGACCTTTTTTGAATAGCAGAGATTGAACGTTATTCTTATGACTTGACATGGGAAACGTGCTACTTAGTATTTTACAACGTAGCCTATTGGTAATTATTAAGGTATTTTATTATCATCAGCCTGCTTAAAATATAAATCTGGCCAATTCTGGCTCAACAACCTGTGTAGGAAAGTTTTTTTTATCCAGTTGTTTTTTCAGTTCATTTATATAGTCAGTGCCAGTTTGAAAGTAGAGGTAGAAGAAACTAACATTTACTTCATTTATACTTACGCCAGAGCATAGATCAGAGCTGTTGTTCAGGCTTTACATTACTGTAAGACATGGCCCGCTTTATAGAGATGCTGAAAGAAAGTTTGGAATATAGAGTGAAATGTAGAAATTGTTGTGATGTATTTTTCACTAAATAAATATGATGTAATTGCCTATGTATCATTTAAAAATGTTTACAAGCACAAGTTGTGTATGTTCATGACCAGCTTTTATTAAGTTTTTGGGGCTGGTTACATGTAATTTGTATTTTTATTTCTAAATAAAAGCTGACCAAGCAGTTACAATCCCATCAAAGATCCGGCTATGCATCTTTAGATACTGCACGCATAATAATTAAAAAACAAACAAAAATACTACTACTACTACTATTACTACTACGAATAAGAATAATTTCAAGTGTTTTATTTTGAAGGACGTTTCGGGTTTTTTCCGGTGTTCCTGTTGAACTTGACACTCTTATTTTCAGCCCGCCTTCGTCAGCAGATCTCACGCCAATCATTCTCACCACTGAGCGTCAGCTGGAGAGCGGCGGTGGTTGAACGGGATCATGTTTTTCCACAGAAAAACTGATGGCGACGACTTTTTTTTTTTTTTTTTTTACCCTTTTCTGCCCAACACGGATCTATAATGTCCAAAACCCCATAGGTGAAAATCCAGAGGAGGCTTTTTCGGCTCTTGTTGCTTCTGCAGCAGCGTAGGCACCGTAATGTTACTTCCTACCACTAGAGGCCGCCGTTGCAACATAGATAGATAGATAGATAGATAGATAGATAGATAGATAGATAGATAGATAGATAGATAGATAGATGATAGATAGATAGATAGATAGATAGATAGATAGATAGATAGATAGATAGATAGATAGATAGATAGATAGATAGATAGATAGATAGATAGATAGATAGATAGATAGATAGATAGATAGATAGATAGATAGATAGATAGATAGATAGATAGATAGATAGATGATGGATAGATAGATAGATAGATAGATAGATAGATAGATAGATAGATAGATAGATAGATAGATAGATAGATAGATAGTCTTAATTAAGTGTTTTTAAATGGAAAATAGATTAAAAGAAACATTACATAACAAATATTTATTTCTGACATGGATGAAAACAGAATTGAAGCTAAACAGGGTTGTAGAAAACAAAATAGTTGGGATTAAAACACAACTTGTAATGTCAGATTTTCTAAGATCACTAAAGTTTGATAGTCTGGCAAGGCATCCTATAAATATGTAACATGCAGAGCAAAATCATTTTGCTTCAGCTACTGTCTGATTTCTAGGCTAAAAGTCTGAGGTTATGCTGGCTGAACTGAAAGCTTAACAAAAAGTGCAACAAAAGGGTAAACGTTTCACGTTTGAAGCATGACTAGTCAACAATGTAGATTGATTCTCAGTTCACAAACATTTATAGACACAACTCATGTCAAAAGTCACCTCAGAACTGTGTCAAAGGGCTCAGTCGCTGAGTTGTATTGTTTTAAAACAACGAATCAGAAGTAAGAAAAACTTTTAAAGAACATTTAAAGTAACTAAGAGGAACTAAAATTGAGTTTGTGCAAGAGTTCTAGATCAACAAGTATTGAATGTTTCCAGTGATAACATTCAGTTGCTAAAAGATGGCTGCTTTAGTCTAGATTAGATGATAAAGACAGACCAATTTACATAAACATAAAACTAATTGAGACTAACTTTATAAGACCAGAAACAAGAACAAACATACAAATGTATAATAATCCAAATCACGTTGTGCAAAGAGACTTAAGTTACAAACCCGTTATTTAAAATGGACGACTTAGAATGACACAGCTGTTTACTTTATCAATAACTGTAAAAAAAATCTATACTAAATTGATCAAATTGGCACATGTTGCTCTATTAAAGTTACTTTATGCACAATCGTGTACTTTTTTAATATACACAGTTTCATTTTAAAGGTTAAAAAACATCCTCCACGTTTGCGGATCATACCCTCATTTCTCTGGCAAGCCTTGATCTTATCTTAGTGAACTGCAGAGATAAAGATGTGAAGCACGGGTGCACACACAGGAAACAACATCTGTACTTCTGCACCTGACTGTAGCGTGTTCATTATACTAAGAGGGGCTGCTGGTCTTAAGACACTTCACAGCTGTCTATCTGACAGAAATAGCCAAGCTCTTGACTGAAAGACACAAAAGAGCATTTGAGGAGACATATCTGACTCCAGCTGATCTAGGAGAGAGCATCTCTGACACGTCAACATGACAGGTGAATATTATATTGATAAAACAACTTATTTTGGACTCATTTTGGTCCAGTATTTGTTAGCCTGATTAAAAATAGACACCTGTGTATAAAACTTTATTGCTTATGGGTGTATTTTAACACTTACCTGCCCAAACTCTTTTAGTCAGCATTTCCATTATTAAAATTATCATTATGTTTCTATTATTTTCATTTCATTAAAATTTTTGAGAACAAACTGCTTGTGTTATGAGTTTTTGTGGCAAATGCACAAAATTACTTAAAGAATCTTTATAATTTTTAAAGCTGTCATGGACCATAACTTTTTATTACCTGTTGAAATGAGCAGTGCAACTTTATCTTAACTGAATTTAATTCAGAATTATTTTATTCAAATTATTATCCCTGTGATGCATGGATTATGAAATCTTCAGCCATGATGTTTTGAATAATTTTTTTCATCCATCTTTAGGTGTGAAAGAAACACATTTTTTGTAACATTTAATAATTTACAAAATAATTTATTACATGCCCACCTCAGAAATATGTTGGCTTGACAGTCAAGCCAGTAAGTCAAGCCTTGACTTACTAATGTCCAAATGGAGGGGCTCAAATGCAAGAAAGTAATAGCAAAATAATAATAATAATAATAATAATAATAATAATAATAATAATAATAATAATAATTTTGAGTGCCTGTCCACTGTAGTGACCATTATGCTTCAAAGTGGTAAATTCCAATTTCTAAATAAAAAAAAACAAACACCTGATTTGTGGAGCCAACAGTAGCGGTTTTAGGCACGGGCAGACAGGGCAGTTGCCCGGCGGGGTGGCATTTTTTCATGGCACAAGCGCGGAGTAAAAAAAAAAAAAGGAAATCTGCGCCGCACTGAGGTTTTCTATTATCTGTCATCTGACAGTGTCTGGATTGGAAACAGCAAGTTGGCGCCCCTATAGCTGCAGGCGCTCCTGCTGACTGAGAACGTTCACGTGCACCGTGTGTCTATGAAGAACAGGAAGGGGAGGGGCGCGGCGGGGGAATTCACCTCTGCGTCTTTCCCAAATGAAATGAGCGTGCAGGGGCTGAATCAACTGTATTAACATGGCTAAAGTCAACCACATCTTAACGTTCTTCCATATTTCATTCATAATATCATAAACACAGGCCTATCATTCTTTCAGGTTTCTCTGAATTGCGTGAAATGGCCGAATAAAAAAAGGAAAAACAAAACGATTTTGTGGTCACCCCCCCATCAAGGTCAAATTGTTTAGTCCTGACTAAAGGAAACTTACTGAGTCAGGAGCCAAACAGAAGAGATGAACATAAAAAGGCTAAAACCACCAGGTGCCCCCATTCAGGGGGAAAAAAAAGAAAAAAGAGGAGAAAGATAAAGGTATGTAGCTCTCATGATGCATGTTTTCAATTTTTTGAACCAGTTAACTGGGATTTTAACGGTTAAATGCGGTCAACTAATGGCTAACAGAGCTAATAGGGCTGAAATATTGAAAAGAATATTCAAATGGTTCGAAAAAAGTCCTTGAATCGTTTTTTACTGATTCAAACTAGGATTTGTTAAATGCTCGCTGCAGCCTGTGGCCTGCCTGAACAACAACAAACACATGTTGATCATGTTCACATAATAATAAATAAAACAACTCTACAAGCAGAAGAAAACTCCCCAGTCACCACTAACTATCCTGTTTATTTATTGCAGATGGCTGTACTGATTATTTTTTACATGATTTGTTCTGTCAACGTTGGCATTTTTGTTAGTCTACAGTTTTTTATGTCAGTTTAAATTACAATTTCAGAGGCAATTCTAAAATATTATGGATCATGAGATCTATTGGAGATCTTCCCCAACTTTTGGACTGCTCTGCCAGTCACTGTGGCTCAAGCTGAGAGGAGCTTTTCAAACTTGATCGTCATACCTGAGGTCACCTATGTTTCAGGGGCGGCTCACTAACCTGGCTCTGATTAGTATCAATCACTCAGTAGGGGAGCAGATTTCATATGATGACATTATTGATGACGTTGCATCAAGGTTAGGTTTTAATTTTAGTTTGTGTTTTCTGTTCTAAGTGCAATGCTGTAGTGATTATCTTTAGTTTGTTATGTGTGAAATATTTTTGCTATTTAGAATATTTATTATCTATTATGTTCATATTGTCTTAATATTTAGTTATTGTTTGTTTTTGTATGTTTGATTCTATATATTTTGATACAGTATATAATGTGTATTGCTTTACATTCTGACAACTTCATAGTAATTAATGTAAATATGTGCAACTTAGAAAAATGAATGTTCAATAGTCGTTCTAATAAAACATGCCTGTTTGTAGAAAACATGCGTGTGTTCATGCAGGTGGGGTGGTGTGGTGGTGGTGGTGGTGGGGGGGGGGGGGCGGTTGGGGGGGGGCGCTCAAAGGGGGCCTCGCCCGGGGAGTAATTCGATGTAGAACCGCCACTGGGAGCTAAATTAGGTGCAGATTCAGGTTTGTGAATGTATTACCCCTTCCTACCAGCAGGTAGCGCAACAAGTCACATTAACAACAGCTTGGTTCTCAGAATTAGAAAATACTGTAGGTGTGCTTGATTGGAAAATGGCCATTTTTCTTTTATTTAACCAAACTTTTTATGTGTCTGTTCTGGGGTTTTGATCTGTGACAACTTTGGTACTAATAAACTAAAACCATAGCTACAAAGCTGTCTTATTGAAACCCAAACTCCACGCAGCGGCATTAAGTGTGATCTGTTGGTGGTGCACTATTTATATGAGTTGTGTTTATGACGTAGAAGATTGAAGTTAAATTTGATACTTTTTGCTCACAGAAATCAATGCAACTGATTTCCTAACCACGTCTGACTACTCATCATACTACTATGGCAATGATTCCTTCTCTCCTTGTGAAAAATTTGAAACACAAGCTTTCAGCAGAGGGTTCCTGGTGACTCTTTACATTCTGGTCTTCATCCTTGGCTCCATAGGTAAGTGAATATGATAAGTATGGATATCAGACTTCATAATCAGCCCTTTAGAGTGTTTGTTCAGATAATGTAGCAGTACAGCTGACAAGATTTTTTCCCCTCTCCTAGGAAATGGCCTTGTTGTGGTTGTGCTGGTGAAACACAGGAACCAAACCAACTTGACAGACATGTGCCTCCTCAACCTGGCACTCTCTGACCTCCTCTTCATCTTCACTCTGCCCTTCTACACCCACTACATTTTAATCAACCAATGGAACTTTGGGGACTTCATGTGCCGTTTCTTATCCTGCTCCCACCACTCTGGCTTCTACAGCAGCGTCTTCTTCATGGTTGTCATGACGCTGGACCGCTACGTGGTCATCATGCATGCTCACAAGGTGGCTCGGTACCGCACCTTGAAGGCAGGCGTTGTTATGATCGTGTTGGTTTGGATGCTGAGCATTTGCGTCTCTCTGCCATCTTTTATCTTTGCTAAAGTGACATCACAATGTGATGAGTTGGGATGCCATTACTCACATGAAAACAAGAACTGGCTGCACTATGATCTGTTCTCCACCAACATTTTGGGTCTGGTGATACCTTTGGTGGTGATGGTGGTTTGCTACTCTAGGATCATCCCCATTCTGGTGAACATGAGAACTGCCAAAAGGCACCGTGCTGTGAAGCTGATTGTCTCCATAATGATTGTCTTCTTCTTGTCCTGGGCTCCGTACAACATCTCCCGCTTCTTGAAGTTTCTGTGTAGCAATGACTACGTGGAGAACAGCTGCAACTTTGAGAACATCAAGGTAACAACGATAGTGACAGAGGCCATTGCATACATCCACTGCTGCCTGAACCCCATCATTTATGCCTTTGTGGGACAAAAGTTCATGAGACGAGTCATGCAGCTGCTGAAGAAGTGGATTCCTGACTCATATGCAAATTCTTCTTATCGGTCATTCAGGAAAAGCTCGATTGCTTCCAAGAATTCCGACGTTACCGCCAATGTCATCATGTAGGAGGAGGAATTTTCTTTCTGACAGGAGTTTCAACTGCAGAGCCGTGTCCAGGACTTTTAAAATGGGGTGGCCCATGTGGGGCACTTGTTTATGCTTGGGTGGCACCAATGGTTATGCTTATTTATTTATTCACACAAATCGTTTCAATCAATCAATCAATCAATCAATCAATCAATCAATCAATCAATCAAAGCTTTATTTATAAAGCGCCTTCCGCAACCCTGTCAGGAAGCCCAAAGCGCTGAACATGGTACAGTTAAGTAAATATATTGAATAAATCAACAATAAAAGTAATTCAAATTACAAAATACAAATTACAAAATACAAAATGGAAATTACAAGATAGATGAAACATTCTGGTAAAGGACAAATGTGTGAAACACATTTGGATTGAGTGGATGGATTGAGTGTACCAATGAAAACTGTGGAATGGATTCAACATAAAAGAGGGCCAAAATCAAACATGTTCTGGAAACGCCAAGTGGAGGAGGTGTGTTTTTAGGTGATTCTTAAAGACTGGCAGAGAAGGGGACAGCCTAACTGAGGGTGGCAACTGGTTCCAGAGTGACGGTGCTAGGACTGAGAAAGCCCGGTCCCCACGGGTACGACACCTAGACCGAAGGACAGCGAGCAGGCCTTGGTCAGAGGAGCGCAGAGCGCGTGATGGGGAGTGTCTTTTCAGGAGTGTGGCTAGATAGGGGGGACCACCACCCTGGAAGAAATGATAAACAAAGACGAGGATTTTGAATTGTGAGCGATAGCAAATCGGAAGCCAGTGCAGAGAGGCCAGAACCGGACTGATGTGGTCCCGTTTCCTGGTCCCAGTCAGGAACCTGGCAGCGCTGTTCTGCACAACCTGTAGGCGACGCAGTGTTGACTGACACAACCCTGCGTAGAGAGAGTTGCAGTAGTCAAGCCGAGAAATTACAAAGGCATGCAGTACCCGCTCCAGGTGGGCTCTCGACAGCATAGGCTTGATTTTAGCAAGGCGTCTCAGGTGAAAGAAACTGGACCGGACCACAGAATTGATGTGAGCGTCAAATTTAAGTCCTACATCAAGTTTCACCCCCAAACTGGTAACAACTGGTTTTGAGTATGGAGAAAGAGGGCCAAGATCAGCATAACGATCCACATTCCTGCTGTTGGGGTGAAAAACAATGAGCTCTGTCTTTCCCTCATTCAGATGTAGATAGTTGGACATTAGCCAAGACCTCACCTCATTAACACAGGAGACAAAGGACTGGATAGAGAGACCTTTCTCCTGACACAATGGAGAGTAAATCTGGCAATCGTCAGCATACAGATGGAATGATAGGCCATGTTTACGAAAGATTGACCCCAGAGGTAGCAGATAAATGGCAAACAAAAGAAGACCAAGGATCGACCCCTGCGGGACCCCCCAGCGGAGCCCCTCCCAAGAAGAAAAAACATCACCCAGTTTAACACAGAATGTCCGGTTTTGGAGATACGATCTAAACCAATCCAGAGCTGACCCTTTGATCCCAACCCATCGTTCCAAGCGATCGAGTAGAATCGCGTGGTCAACTGTGTCGAAGGCTGCTGTTAGGTCTAACAACAGAAGCAGCACAGATGTACCCTGATCTAGTGATAGATAGATGTCATTTAGGACCCTCAGTAGAGCAGACTCTGTGCTATGGCCAGACCTGAACCCTGATTGGAAAACCTCAAACAGATCAGAGTCAGCTAAATGTGAGACCAGCTGCTGATAAACGACTTTCTCAAGCAGTTTAGATGTAAAGGGCAGGGTAGAGATAGGCCTGTAATTGTCTATCACAGAGACATCAGTACCAGGTTTCTTCAGGGTCGGCCGGATAACTGCTGCTTTCAAAGCAGCTGGGACAACACCTGTGCTGAGGCTCCCATTGATAATCTGACCAAGTGATGGGCAAAGGCACGGAAAGGCAGCCTTCCAGAGACGAGGTGGCAGAACGTCAAGTGGAGAGCCAGATGGCTTCTGTCTCGCAACTAGCTTACTCAGCTCAGAGTATGAAACTGTATTGAGGGAGCTCAGGGTGGGTGGTGATGGATGAACTGGAACAGGGTCAACAGAGTTACCTGAAATGACTGCTCTAATGCCTGATACTTTATCAACAAAGAATTTGTGAAAAGCTTCAGAGTTTCCAGCAGCTGTAGGAGACATGGAGCTAGGCTCCTGATACACCAGAACAGAGTTTAGCGTTTTGTAGAGAATCTTAGGATTATTGGAGTTTGTCTCATTGATGTCTGCAAAATAGGCCATTCTGGCGGCCTTCACAGCATCCTGATAAGCAACCAGAGATGCTCTGAACAACTCACGCGAGACCTGTAGGCCATCCTTTTTCCACTTTCTCTCCGAGGATCTACACGCCCGCCTGCAAGCCCGTGTGACATCAGAGAGCCATGGCTCCCTCCTAGGCCGAGACTTGCACAGTTTGAGAGGGGCAACCACGTCCAAGACCTGATTACAAAGTACATCAAAGTGTTGTGAATAGTGATCAACGTTAGATGGATCTGGGTTAAAGGTCTCTAACCTTACAGACATACAGTCCACAAACTTTGAAATAGTTTCTGCATCCAGGGCTCTGAACCTAGTAGCGGGAGCTTCACACACAGGGACAGGACATGGCAACGTAACATCACAGAGTATTGGAGAGTGGTCAGAGAACACCGGAGGCAAAGTCACAAGGTTCGTGACGGGTAGACCATAAGAGATAACCAGGTCCAGGGTGTGACCCCTGGCATGAGTTGGGGATGATACCCATTGAGTTAGATTGAATGAATCTAGCAAATTAAAAAAACCTTTAGCAAGCACATTATCAGGACAGCAGATATGGATGTTAAAATCACCAAAAAATAGGACATAGTCATATTTTAGGATGCAGTCTGCCACAAGATCACAGAAATCATTAAGGAAGTTAGAGTCAGTCTTTGGAGGGCGATAAATCAGCACGACAAGCAGGCGGGGGGAGATGCACAGTTCAAATAAGCACAGTTCAAGGGAAGAAAATGACATGGTGGGTGTAAGCTGTTTACAAGGAAAGCTGGATTTAAAAACAACAACCAGCCCTCCACCTCTGCCCCGTGGTCTGGGGGTATTAAAACACGAGCAGCCAGGTGGTATCAGCTCGAGTAGGGAACTTGTGTCACCAAACGGGATCCAGGACTCACAAATGCAGAGAAAACCCAAGTCATGCTGAATAAAAAAGTCACGAAGAATAAAAGTTTTGTTCAGCACAGACCTGGCATTGACCAAACCAAACCGGGTCTGCAGCGGGGCTGCAGCACCAAGATCGCGCACGGACCCAGTCCCCTCTAACTCTGTGCCCGTAACCGAGCGCAGATTCTCCCAGCAAACCCCAGTCTGGCGAGATCTTCGAGCCGATCGGCCGTGGCGCGGTGCCGGTTCACCCTCAGAGCCGGCCGAGTTCCCTGAGCAGGGCGCCGAGTAATCCAGGAGACATCTCGGAACCATCGGGTCAGAAGCTGGGCCGGATCGGGCCAGCCGCTTGTTCAGGGATCCAGGCCGACGTCTCACGCGCCGGCTACCTCTCTTTCCTCGTCTTCTCCGATGCTTCCTTCTCGAGCTGGGGCGGACAGAGAGCCGACACATCACGGCTTGGGTGGAGAGAGCACGCGGGCAGTTCAACCAGCAGCATCGTCCGTGAGGTTCATGGCTCACACAGCCCGGTTCCCAGCGCGCGCTGCCGGCGACATCAACGGAAGGACGAAGCCTCAGCAGCACAGCTCGATCATACGTCAGCAGAGGATCCACACCATTCAAAAAAGGGATCAGCGACAAGAAAAGTGCATAAAAGCCAATAAAACGCCAATAAAATCCAATAAAAAGCAAGGTATCAGTGCGTAAAGAGGACGAGCAGCTCGCAGCGTGACCGTGCGTTTATTTACTTTCTAGTGAATTTTGGAGTTTCACATTTCACAATCACCATTTTTTTCTCTTCATCTTCTAGTTTTGTGGTGGTTAGCAAGTCACTTCTTGTTGCATTACTGCCACCAACTGGAGATGAGTGAGACTCTAAATACTATTTATGTGAATATGAAAAAATAATAAATAATATTACTACTACAGAAATGTTCTGTAGGCCTGGGCTAGAAGACGATGTTAAAGGTGCATGCTGCCACACACTATTTTTGGAGTTTACAACCCAAGCCTTTTGTCGACAATGTAAAGTCAATTTAAACTGGAACTTAGTGTGGTGGCACCTGGGGTGGCCAATCAGATTCTAAGGGTGGCATGTGCCACCCCAGGCCACTCCCTGGACACGCCCCTGTTCAACTGTAAACTAATCTTTCCCTTTGCTGCATCCAGTTTGATCCCTAAGACTCTGCTATTCCTCTGCAGCTTATATCTCTGCAAACTACACACCAGCAGCCTTGCCTTCTCTCGCTGGAGGAAACCTAGCTCATTTTAAAGCAAGCTTGTAACCACAAGTTTTGATTGTACTATTTCACCGTACCTTCGACTATTTTGTTTTTTTAACATATTGTCACAAAAACAACATAAAACACTTTTTTAACAACTCCCAACATTAAAAATGGTAACATTTAATATGTGGAGCGGGTTTATATATCAGGTTATCATTTGTGATCCTCTACCTTTCAACAGTTTCCCAAAATGTGTATAATGTACAATTTTCTTATAGGTCATTTCATGACTTAATGCCAATATTAATTTTGCTTGATTTCCCAAAAATTCTTTTCTTTTGCCTTTAAAAGAATTTTGTAATGAATCGTGTCAAGTTTTTTTTATTAAAAATTTGCTAAATCATCTTGATGTTGATTAGAATCTCTGACCTGTATTTCTGATTTCTTCTGTCCAAAAACATTAGTTGGTATTTGATCTTATCGTGCTCTTACATAAAGGGAAAGTCAATCTTATGGTCTTGATAAGAAGTGCATTGTTCATTTTGGGTAGATTAGTTGTATGTTGGCGATTTCTTTTCTTTCTTTTGTTGACTAGATTTGTGCTTTTTCCTTACATTGTTGGTTCCTTACATGACCTAGACAAAGAGAAACATTTGCTAAATATTGCAAAAATACTTTAAAATGTTATTCAAACCATTGTTGGAGAAGTGGGTATTTAAAGAGCAAGTCACCCCCAAATCAACTTTTTTTGTCTAATCATGCTGCAGACACGTGTAGTCAATAGTTTTGCACTTTAGTGCATTTTAGTTAAAATTTTAATTTTCTGCCTAAAACTCAGTGTTGTGCCGTTGTCAGGTAAAAAACTCTGCACTGTATTTGAATTTAAATCTGCCACCGCTATTGGCTAAGAGGTATACTATGATGTAAACTGGTACATTATGATGTCACAATGCTGTGGTGAGCCTGTGTGTGTGTATTTGTTAGCGGCTCCGCCCTCTCGGTCTGCCAGGCAACAGCATTTGCTGCATTTTTTAAACATGAAGTGAGAGTGGAGTTAGACTCTGGTAGGGGGTGACTTGCTCTTTAAATGTGTTGCAGTATAGGCAGCTTCCTTTCATACGCGTAAGCTATTCAATGTGCTTTAAAATCAATGTGATAACATACAAAAGAAGATTGTAAAACAAATGTCAAGTAAAATTAGAGTTCAAGTTAAAGACTGAGCAGTTACAGTGCAGAAAGTGCAGTAGAGGAAATAATCATTCAAAGGAAACGAATACATGAAAGTTTTCAATTTTGATTTAAAAGTTTCTAGAGTTGGGGCACGGTTGAGGTCATGAGGAAGCTGATTCCATCTGTGTGCAGCATGGTAGCCAAAAGAAGCTTCATCCTGTTTGGTTCTGACCCGAGGTGGTACCAACTGACTGTCTCCGAAGCATCTCAGGGCCCTGCTGGGTGTATATAGAGAGCCTAAGTCACCCCCATTTACTTCCGGACCACGGGTCCACCAAAAATGAAAAAATGAAAGCAAGTCAATGAGGATAAAAATGCTATTTTCTAATTCTGCCCGTTATGTGCCATGGATTTCACATATGATGTTTGTGAATTTTCAAGATGCATTTTGATACCAAGAACACACTTATTTTCAAACGAGGGGAAACACTATTTTAATTTTTGTGTGAAAATAAGTCCAGGTGTACAAATACACTTCACTAAAGTGACCTCATCAAACCAGATACGGAGAGAAACAGAGGTAAAAAAGCTGTAAGTTTAGTGAAAATCAAATCCTTCCTTCGGGAGGAAAAATGAAACCACCATAAATCTGGACATTTGGTAAGTAAGTAGCAGCTGCGCTAGAGAGGAGATTCTGTGGTAAAGCGGATTTGAGAATCCAAATCTTCTTTTGTAACCTGGATCTTTCCTTCCCAGGGCTCAAGGCCTGCCTCACAGCAAGTGTCTATGTGACAAAAGGCCCTGGCAGGCATCAATATTCTTTTCCTAACTTGATCGGCTCGTGTTTTCCTTAAGGTGTTGGCCTAGTCTAAGCTTGCAAATGACATGTTTCATTAAAACAACATCATAGCAACAATCAAACATGGTGGTAGTAGTGTGATGATCTGGGGCTGCTCTTCTGAGGTTGACTGAAACTGGATTTCTGCTCTCAAACAATAAACCCTACAGGAAAATGTGGCCTTCGACCTTAAACAGGATGTTCATGGCCTCCAACATGGCTCATTCCAAACTTTTCTAGAACGAGGAGTAAGACAAAATGGCCCAGTATAAAAATATTTCATCGCAAATGTTTCCAACAAGAATGTTACAACCAGGTATTGTATTTAGGGTTCATTTTTTTCCCCATAGGCCAGGTTTGGAGGTGTCTATCCCCTTTAGTAAATGAAACTGTCAGTCAAAATCAGCATTTTGTAATTGCTCAGGTTATTTTGTCTGATCCTTAAGTTGTTTTGCTCATCTGAAACAATTAAGTATAAAATTACAGACAGAAGAAATCAGGAAAGGGAGGTGAATCCTGTTTTACAGCAACTCTTGTCCATATGCTGACTGGTGTGGAATAGTTAACATAATGGCAGCATGAAACCGTGGTGATATTTCAGTATCCTGAGTAATATTTTCAAATCTCGGAAACTCTCCTGCAGTGACCACCTGTACGTTTTTATGAAAGAGTGTTCTCATTTCCAAGAACACGAGCCTAGTTTTAATATCAATGAAGCATCTGAGAGATGCCTTTGAAAGGAAAATAGGTTTAGAAAAACTGTCATAAGCTTGCACCCCCCCTCCCCACATTTTGGAGTGAAAAGGGACATTTCTCAGAAAACCACACTGACACCTTTGTGCAGGTTTGACACAATGCATAGGAAACAACTCAACCCAGACTTCACCTTATCAGAAATAAGCAGAGCTGCAGAATCTGTCACAAAACGTGAGCAAGGCAAGTTGACAGGATGACAATGTGACTGAGGAGCCTGATACCAACACGCCAACACACAAACTGAAGAGGAGAGAGAAACAATGTGGTGAGTGCTAAGATTTATCGTTTTTATCATTCTGATCTCATTGACTAGACGTTCTGCTTTTGTTTTCTTGTGTAAACACTTTGTGTAGATGCACAGTTGTGACTGTGCTTTATGCTTGTGTGTGTGTGTGTGTGTGTGTGTGTGTGTGTGTTTGTGAAAGCAAAGTCAGCCACAGGAAGTGAGGGTCGACATGTTGATAGTGAAAGAAAGCGTCTGAGATGTGGTTTAGAAGATCACATAAGTTTGATTACGTTTATTCCAGTAGGAAGTGTGTGATACTCACATAAAAACAGCCTTCATGCAGGCCGCTGTCGGTGATGCGTGATAGTACTTAGAAATTTTATTGATCCTTTGAGTTATATGTCAGGTTATGCTTCAGAAACTGACAATGAGCTTGTTTTGTCCAAAAGGCCTCCCCAGTATGACTCACTAAATCTTTGTCACATCTGAAAAGTTCAGATTAAAAGGGCAAAACATTCCATAATACATTTAGTGTAATTCCCCCACTGTTTAATTCTTTAAATGTTTTTTAATCTGTATAAATAAGCTCAGTGTTGACGAGATTCGGTCTTCATTTAAGTTCAGTACAAAGGAAAGGCTCAAGGACCTTTTGCATGGTTTCTTGAACTGCTAGAACATTTAATTAGGAGTCAAATGATTGCACCATAAAGTAAGTACACATAAATAATTTCATACCTTAGTAATCTTACTTGTTTACCGTTACCTAATTAAAGTAGATTAAAGTTCATCATTGAAGAGAGATTCAGTTAGGAAAAGTGGATAGAAATCAAACTGGTACATCATGATCAAATATATATTATATATTATTTTCAATAAATGAAAATAATATTCAGTTGATAATTCCTTGACAACATATAGTGAAATAACTTTTTGTTTTTTGTAATTTTTGCTCCTCCTTTGACCTGCGGTGATTTATGGTGTGTTGTGGATAAAAGCTGTTGTGGATTTAAAACCACAATTCTTTGTTTTTTTAAACTATCTGTTATTTTCAAGTTTGCATCGCTTATTCTAACGGGTCAGAAGGAACTCATTGCCACCTTAAATGATCTGTTTGGATGAAAAGTTGATCGAGTTTACTGTTGACAGGAAATGGCAATGGCACGGAAAAAGCACATTCCGCTCGATTTTAAGGCCTGAAATGAGTTCTTTATAAAAATGTAAAACATTGAAATCTCAGACTTTACAGAGGATAATTCTGTTATAGTTTAAAGTGTATGGGAAGTTTTCCTTATCTGTGTGTAAATCAGAGTTTGGGGTTCTGTTAGACTGACTGCTTGTCTTGTGTCACACAGCAGCATGAACGAGTCGGACAGTACCACTGAGCTTTACTACGACTATTTCACCTGTGACCAGGAAACCAGTTCCCCCTTTGGAGATGAACCTATAGTCCGCCTGGTTATTTACTACGCACTCTTTTTTCTGGGTCTCTTGGGTATGTTCAACCATGAATACACTGTATATATTTTTGTATTCATTTTATTTTTATATATTCCAGCTTCAAACAAGAGTATCAGGCGACTTTGATTTGTTTTTTGCTTAAATAATTCAGACATTTAAGAATGTGACTTCCTTTCCAAGAAACAGGTCGGTTTGACCAGACTGATGAGCTAACGGCTAGCTCAAGCAGGGCCAGATTGGCCGCTAACGCTATTTAAAAAGTTTTCATCAATTTTGAGTCAAAGGTGTATTAAGTAAGAATTCTACGGTGAAATAATCCCAAAATGGTATTTCTCAGTCGTTTTGGAAAGAACATGAAATTACATTAAAACAGATATCCTTCTCAGTTGACAGGGGAGTTGTTGGCTTTTTCTCCTGTTGAAAAAGCTGAAGAGGGATGTAGTCTTTGTTTACAATTTGCCCAGACTCCATACTTCCTGGTTTCAGAGGCCACAAGGCTACCAAGTCTGTGCTGGCATTTGTAATTTGACACTGGCAGGCACAAAGTAACAGCGTTGTGGAAATAACCTAAGCCAGTAAACAGGAGCGACCCAGAAGTAATTTCTTGTACCCCTTAGAAGCCACGGCATCTTTTTAAAGTTAAAGTCCCATTAGTTGTCACACACACTGATGTGTGTGCGAAATTTGTTCTCCGCATTTGACCCATCCCCTGGGGGAGCGGTGAGCTGCAGACACAGCTGCGCTCGGGAACCATTTGGTGGTTTAACCCCCCAATCCAGCCCCTTAATGCTGAGTGTCAAGCAGGGAGGCATTGGGTCCCATTTTTTCAAAGTCTTTGGTATGACCCAACCAGGAATCGAACCCTGATCTCCCAGTCTCAGGGCGGACACTCTACCACTAGGCCACTGAGCTAGTTTTACTCTAGCATCAGGTGAAGAAGGCTAGAGGCTAAAGTTAAGCTAACATTACGCCAACATTTCTAATGGTGAAATAGATGCAAATAGTCAGCTCTAAAAATATCTAGCTACTTTTTAAATTACCAACAACTCAGTCTACCAGTGAAATGTATTTATCTAGTCATCAGCTTAAAGCAGTGATCCCCAACTCCCTTCCCCAAGCGCCGGTCCAGCATGTTTAATTGTTTTACCTGTTTCAACACACCTGATTTTAATCAGCAGGTGATTAGAAGGCTTCTGCGGAGCCTGGTGCGCTGATTAACAGGTGAATCAAGTGTGATTGATTAGGGAAACAACTAAAACATGCTGGAGTAAATATCAGTGGAGAAAAATCTGTGAAAGAGTAGGACAGAAAAAAGAAAATTAAACCTCGCTTCAGAAATGTGAAGAAAGGATTGAAAGCAGAAAGGCAGGGAGAAAGTCATATTAAGGCAAGCCGTGTTAACATTTAACCAACAATCAAATCTCTTTACAATTCCTTTTTATATAGCAATAATTTAATTGATCCTAGTACTAATTGTATTCTCATTAGTCAAAATTGCAAATGAAGACATAATCAGCTTTATTGTCACTATTAGAAATTATAATTAGGGATATCCATAATAACAACGGCACTAGTAGGAATGAAGTTTGAGGTATCTCAGAAACCCTAAAAACCTAAGGTGGCCTTTTTAACATTTGTTGGTCAGACTGGATATGTATTCCAGATGAAAACGTAATAATCTTCTGAATATAGAGCATAGCGACTAATGATTTAATTTGATTTTACAGGCAACTGGATGGTTCTCTGGGTTCTGCTCCGCTACACAAGGCTAAAATCAATGACAGACGTGTTTCTCCTCAACCTTGTTGTGTCTGACATTTTGCTGGCTGTTTCCCTTCCCGCCTGGGCCTACAGTTCTGAGAACCTTGCTGCATGTAAACTGATCACTGGACTCTACCAGGTGGGCTTTCAAAAGGAGCATTAAATGAGGAATATTGCGTTGTTTAAAAAGTCAAAAGAGAACTCTTTGGGTGACAGCTGTTGTTGGATGATGCGTGCAAGATCTGCTGTTGTCTAACCAGTTTCACCTCACGTCATGACACATCCTGTTCTTACTGTGCTTCCTCTCGGCTCCTCTCAACAGTTGGGTTTCTACAGCGGCACCTTGTTTGTCACCCTGATGAGCGTGGACCGCTACCTGGCCATCGTCCACGCTGTGGCGGCCATGCGAACACGGACTCTTCGCTTAGGGATCATGGCCAGCGTCATCGTCTGGCTCATATCAGTCATCATGGCGACGCCTCAAGTGGTGTTTGCCTCCTTGGAGAAAGAAGCAGAAGAAAACCTGACCATCCAGTGCCAACCTAGATACCCAGAAGAGACCCTGGATGCCTGGAAAAAGCAGCGAAACTTCAGCGAGAACACAGTGGGCCTCTTTGTTTGTCTTCCCATCATGATGTTCTGCTACGCAAAGATCCTTTTTGTGCTCTCCAAATCCAGAAACTCCAAAAAAGGAAAAGCAATGAAGCTGATTTTCACTGTGGTGTGTGTTTTTGTGATTTGCTGGGTCCCCTACAACGTCGTAGTCTTCCTTCAGACGCTGGAGCTGCTGGAAATCCTGAATGGCTGCGAGCTTTTCATGGCCCTCAACTCAGCCATGGGCATAGCTGAGATTATTGCTCTGTGTCACTGCTGTGTAAACCCAGTCATCTACGCTTTCATGGGGGAAAAGTTTAGAAAAACGTTGAGCAACGTGTTGGTGAAGTTCTTACCCTGGATTCATCACAGCAGAGTTCCTTTCAGCAGCCAGACAGAAAATGAGACCTCCAACACACCTGTGAGATCGGATTTTTAAAATGAGGTTTTCCGTGTGGTGGAAACAGCATGAGCAGGGCTTTCTCTGTTCAGATTGTTCCTGTGTCAGTGTGGTGGGGAAGGTGGTGAAGGAGAAGGGGGAGGTGTAGAAAATGTGGTTTATTTCTGCAAAACATGAAGGTTCACTCACAGTATTTTCATTGTTGTATGAAAAATAAAATAATTCATTCTAAAAGTACATATAATGATGTGTGTATTTTAAAGATTTATTCTGAACAACTTGTAAATTTGTATAGGCTTTTGTGAAGATGGATAAAATAAAATATGATCTTTCTTCCACCTTGGTTTAACAAGTGAGACATTTTGTTTTCATTGATCTTTGATTTTTTTTAATATTTTGCATGTGCATGATAGTTTTTGTTTATAATTATTTGTACTCCTCAAAATAAAAGCTGTTTAAAGCAAATTATTATATATTTTAAAACCCGGTTGGTTGATTAAGAAAGTTAAATGCACATTAACTGAGTTACAATTGACCAGAAGGATTATTCTGCTGAAGGAATTAGCAAAAATTGTTTTTATTTTCATGTTTTAGAGAAATTGTTTAAAACAAGGTACACCAAAGTAGCAATTTCAGACAAATTACAAAATCCATACCAGATGCACTTTAATGTTTTCGTATTTTTTTCATTCAATTTTGCATTCCTTGATTTTATTCACCGATATTATTTTCTTTTCTTTTTTTTTTTTTTTTACATTTAATCTGTTTAAGAATCTTGTGATTTTTGGGGGTATTTTTTTCCTTTTAACCTCTATTTAACTAAGAATGACTCTTGAGAATGGAAATCTCATTCTTTTAAGTGGCCTAGTGGTACGAGTCTCTGCCCTGAGACTGGGCGATTGTGGGTTCAAATCCACAGTTGGGTCGTTCCAAAGACTCTAGAAAGGGGACCTAATGCCTCCCTGCTTGACACTCAGCATTAAGGGGTTGAATTGGGGGGTTAAACCCCCAAATGCTTCCTGAGTGAGGCCATGGCTGCAGCTCACCCTCATGGGTTAAATGTGCAGATGTGGCTTTATCAGCCTGTGATGCTGACTAATAGGACTTTATTTATGATGATAAATGACCCACACTTGTATGGTGCTTTTCAGAGTCAGAGGACTCCAAAGTGCTTTACACTACAGTGTATCATTCATCCATTCATTCATACACACATGGTGAAGAACTACAATGTAGCCACAGCAGCCCTGGGGTGCACTGACAGACACTGGTCCCTTGGTAACGTGGGTCAAGTGTCTGGCCCAAGGACACAACAGCAGAATTATCTGTCCGGATCTGGGATTGAACCTGCAACCTTCCGATTACTGGACAACCCTATATAAGAGAGAGAGGAAGCAGCTTGATCACACACACACACACACACACACACACACACACACACGCACACACACACACACACACACACACACACACACACACACACACACACACACACACACACACACACAGGGAAGAGTTCACACATCACAAAAAAAAAAAAAGGATAGTGGTGTTTTTAACTAAAGAGTCTTGCTCTACTTGCAAAGGACTCCAAAAGAAATGCATCACTCTGAAAGCAGAAAAATGTTCCAATAATAAAAGGGAAAAAAATTAATGCAAATCTGCAAAAGTAGTCAATGATTTCTGCGTTGCTTATCTTTAAAAGTCAACTGTCTCAATTTTTATTTTCATTGTTTGTGTCATTCTAATATGTAAATAAAATTACAGTTTCTCTATTGTTTACACACATTTCCTGAAAGCATGCCTCATATTCTCAGAACTCTACACACAAATCCAAAAAAAAAAAAAACACACACACACACACACACACAATGGGCAAAACCCCTCACTTAACCTGCAAAATTAAACTTCACATTCAAAACAATGTTATTTCTCCTCACAATGTGGTTTTGGTGTCAAATGACACACAAACCATCATATGAATAGACATTTATAAGAACCAGCAGAACACTTATGTGCTCAATGTTAAACACTATGATGAATGGAAAACATGTCTTCTCCATTCATCATAATGACTAAAGCCTTTTTGGTTCAGTGTTACACCTACTACAGACAGTATATACATGCATGTGTTGTTATTTCAGAATATTGTTTTTACACTCTGAACACACAAATACATGGTAGAAATTTTATTTCCCCCCACAAAACATTGTGTACAATGTCCCATTCCAAACCAACACAAAGTTGCACACAAACAAACAACAGAAGAATTTACTGTATACAGTTACAGTAAAAAAGAAAACTATGCTGCATCCTCTCTTCTGTTGCGGTCTGGCCACAGCGCCTCATCCACATCACAAGCAATGTCCCTGGCCAAGCAGCGGGGGAAATATCTCCTAGCATGGCGATTCCAGCCATGACAAGAATCAGCTGCTATATCTCCACATTCGTCCTCCATAGCTTGGAGAAGAGGTATACGGGTTTGTGGCTGTCGGTCATACACCTTCCATCTCCATGCAGAAAAAAATTCCTCAATGGGATTGAGGAATGGAGAATATGGAGGGAGATAAACAACTAAAAAGCGTGGATGGCCAGTTAACCAGTTACGGACCACAGCAGCCCTGTGGAAACTTACGTTGTCCCAAATGACAACGTACCTGGGCTGTTCTGGACCATCTACCTGATCTGGTGGAATGAGTGTTGTGTAGGGTGTCCAGGATTGTCATCAGATGGGCGGAGTTGTAGGGGCCAAGGGTAGCATGGTGATGGATGATGCCATGGTAGCCAAGCGCTGCACACATTGTGATGTTCCCACCACGCTGGCCAGGGACTTCAACAATGGCACACTTGCCAATGACATTCCTTCCCCTCTTTCGTCTTTCTGTGAGGTTGAATCCAACCTAATCAATGAAGATGAACTGGTGTTCCTCTGCAGCTGCCTCTAGCTCAAGGACTCTGAAACACACATGACAATATCAGAAATAACCATGGAGTGGTCACTATTGTGAAGCACAATTATGATTACACTATTGAAATATGTATAATTTACTGTACAGTGTTGAGTGTATGCATCAATTGTGGGACTCACTTGTTGCACACAGTTATATCGCAATTCTTTGACTCTTTCTGAGTTTCCTTCAAATGGTACCCTGTAGACCTGCTTCATCCTGAGATGATTTCTGCGCAAGACACGGTCCAGTGTTGATAAGCTGACCCTATCAATATTTGAAACATGTCGTTGTTTCCTATAATTTTTCTTTGTATTTGCCGTAATTTTATGGCATTGTTTTCTAGGGCCATGTTGAGGATTTCAGTTTCCTGTTCAGCGAGACTGAAGACGTTCCCAACCACCTCATGTTGGTAATCTTTTCAGTTCTGCCAAACAAATAGTAAAATACTGTGAATACAAAGAAGGTATACATTTCCTAAATACTGGAAACATACTTTACAGTATTTTTACTGTCCACCAAAACCATCCACAGGCAATACTACTACTATACTCATTGAATACTGATTGTATTGATATGCAGTACTGCCATTTTCTAGTGAGAGAAGATTTCTTACCCATTCTCATTTCAGAAGGTCCGGATGATGGATGCTACAGTGTACCTGCTCAAATTTGGCTGTACTCTTTGCCCAGCCTCCCTCATAGTAAGACCATAGTTGACCACATGATCAACCAAAGTGGCTCGGATATCATCAGAGATTATCATCGTCCTCGTCCTCGACCTCTCCGTCCTCTTCCCCTACTCACTCCTCTGGCTCTGCCTCTGTTTCCAATGTTGGCATCCATTGCTCCAACACAGAAGAGCTCACCTGTTGCCCTTTTATGCTAAAGCTCTGATTGCTGATTGTAAAACTGTGTGATGAGTTAGGCCCTGTCCACACGTAGCCGGGGATCTGCCAAAACGTAGATATTTTTCTACGTTTTCGCCTGTCAACCACACGAAAACAGAGTTTTTTTCACACGAAAACAGATTTTTTTTAAATCTCCGGCCAAAGTGAAGATCTGAATTTTCTCCGTTTTGGGTGTCTGCGTGTGGACAGACAAAACCGGAGTTTTAAGGTCCGCAACGTCACTTTCCGTGACAAAGAAATGCTGACATCACGTGTGCGACCTGTGTTTACACTAGCCGACAGCATGGATGACCTCAGAGCTGCGCTCGCTTTATCAATTGTCCAAGCGCTTTTTGCTTGTTTGTTTTTGCAAGCGGAATTACTGCTCCTTGCGGAAGACCACAGACAAAGGACGAGGTTAAGAACGGGGGAAGTACTGCCGCCTACAGGTCTGGCATGTCCTTAACAATGTATTTATCCGGTACGTGTGGACAGAGTTTTTTTTTAAAAACGAGGTGGTGTGGATGCAAGTTTTTGGTGGGGCGGATATTCGTTTTTAAAAAAACCCGGCTACGTGTGGACTAGGCCTCAGTGTGCATATTTGTATAGCAGTGTGTTTCCCTTGAAAACAAGATATTTTCTGCATAAAAATTGTGCCAACAGCAGAGAATTGTGTGTAGTGTTTTGAGAAAAGTGTGTTTTAGATTTGCAATTTCAGTGCAAAGCAGAATTGGTTAAGGGGGTTGGTGAATTGGTTGCATGTTGTGGTAATTGTGTCTCAAGTACCAGAAAATGTGTATAAACAATTGAGAAAAACTGTAATTAAATTAAAGATCTGCAATGTTGTGTAGTGGTTAGCACTTTCACCTCAGCACAGGTGCTATCCACTTAGTTCTCCTCATGCCTTTGTGGGCTTCTCCAGCTACTTTGGTTTCCTCCCACAATCCAAAATTCTACAAGTTTTGGTTTACAGTTTTTCTCAAATGCTAAAACACAAAAGCCAATATGACCAGTTGTCTAAACACATTTACTAAATCTAGCCATCATTTTCCAACATCATAAACACATTTCACATGAAGACACAATTCACAAAACACAATCCTTTGTTCTCATAAACCTAAACACATTTTTCCTTGCTAAAACACAAGTTGTAAAAGAACTCTGCCCATACAGGTATTCTCAAATGAAAGCTCATGTGTTGCCAAATGCTTGCCACAGTCAGCACTAACTGAACACAATGAACACACCTGTCGTCATTTATTACACACAACGACTCAAAATTGAAGACACTTGTTGCTGATGCTGTGACCACATGTATAAAACCAAGTTCAGAGTGCACAGTTTGCTGAAATAGGAAGTACATTTTCTAGGGGGTGTAAAGTAGAAAGTGGCACTCCTCAAGGAAGTGTCATTAGTCCAATATTATTTACTATTATGATAGATGATGTGTTTCAGAATGTGGGGAATGAGTTTGGTAAGGCATTATTTGCAGATGATGGAGCAATATGGAAGAAAGGGAAAAATATCCAATATGTGCAAAAGAAAGTTCAGGAAGCAATTAAAATGGTGGAAAACTGGTCATATGAATGGGGTTTCAAAGTTTCAGTGGAAAAAACTAAAAGTATGGTGTTTACAAAAGGCAAGAAAGTAATGGAGAATTCAACATTGTATGGAGAAGAGTTGGAGCAAGTAGATAAGTTTAAATATTTAGGGGTAATATTTGATAAAAGGTTGATATGGAATGATAATATGAATAAAATAGAGGAAAGATGCAAGAAAGTAATAAATATAATGATATGTGTGAGAGGATATGAGTGGGGGGCTAGTGCTCAGGCATTAAAATACATGTACAGTGCAATGATACGATCAGTGATAGAT